AATACTTTTGACCCTATAGCCTATAACCTTCGTTTAATTTGATCCCATACACCTTTAACCTTTGATATGCTATTTAAGACTTTGGGGGAATATTTACAACTATTTCACTTGCTTTGCATTACCTTTCTCCTAATGACTGACAATACCAGATTTGCCTTTTTAAAAGCCTTTCAGGATACAACTTTCAACAACTGTAATTGTGTCATAAAGTAGACAGCTTGCCTTGGCAATTTTACATATTTTACTTTGGGACTACTAAAGATCTAGTTTTTCATTGTTTGTCTAAAGCCAAAAATTAGAAAACATGTATAAAACAATATTTAGAAATGTAGAAACATTTCTGTAGAAACATGTCCATTTCTGGAACTGAGCATCCTATATCAACGCCCAATATTATTTCATGAACTCATAGGATTGGCTTGAAAGCCACACTACATACCTTTAGCCTGTGGAATGAACTATATACATTGAATAACTTGACCTATGTGAGAGAAAAAGTAAGGTTGGTTCTTGATTGCTCTTTTCATTTGTCTGTTTAATTTTTTCTTATTGCCAATACCTTTCATGTTCATTTGGAAAAAGCAAAATAGAAAAAAAAAGAATATTTTTTTTAAAGTGTAATATCCAGCCAGAGAAAATTAAAACTACTTGTTCACACACTGTTCAGAGTATATCCTTCTAGATAAATGCTACGTGTGTTTATGCCTTTTCCGCCTAAGAACATAAACTTCTGAACATTTAAGATTATTTTTCTTTATATTCCCTTTATTCCTCAATTATGCAGGTGACTGGTAGATCCTCTCATGAACCCAGTTTTCCCAAACCACCTCGTTTAACAAGAGATGTCTATTTCTTTTTATGTGAATTTCTTTTGGTTGTGTTGTTGTCATTGTTGTTTGGTTTCGGGGTTTTCTGTTGGGGGGTTGCGCATGCGCGCGCACAGCACTAGTTAGCCTCTGGCGTTTGAATTTTCTGTGTTCCCCAGCATTTGGCTAAACCCATATTTGGTATGTGTGCCAGCCAAAGCTAAGCTGCAAATATCTGCTTCCTTGCTCCCTTCCCCCATATCAAGAACATATTTTATGTTAATAAATATTTATTTACAACAGCATTTTCAAAGGTACATTCTTTTTTATTGATGAACATAACTTATTTAAACACCCTCTACCGTTAGACATTTATGGGGTTTTCCCTTGTGTGTTTTCCTATTACAATCAATTCTGCAATAAATCTCATTCTTGCTAAATTGTACTAAATCTGCGCTAAATCTTGCGAAGTTTTCCCTTAGGATAAATCCTGAAAGTAGAATTGATACATTAAAGGTAGGCTTGTCTTTTTAAGGCTTTTGATACATGTTGCCAAATTGCCCTTCAGAAATTTAACCCCAGCAATATTGGAAATTTATCATATTACCAGACTTACACATTTTTTAAAAAGCAATTGATAATGTAGTGGGTCTTTGCTTTCTTAAGCATTCGAAATCATCCCGCATGTTTACAGAGTCTTTACTACAAGTATCCCACAAAACAAGAGCCCCAGAGCTTTGAAAAGTATGTTTGATAGCTTTTCATTTACAACATTGTTTGCTTGTAGTTTTAGGTGACATCCAGAGAGGAAAGTAAAGGAAACCAATAGTGATACCCGCCCCTCAAAACACAGCACCCCAGGACAACTATTTATAAACTCACTCCTGGTGATCTCTAAGTTTCCAGGAGATGAAAAGTAGAACCCTTTTGTAGATAATGTGTTATCTACCTGAGCTAGATAGGGTGAAGAGAAGTATATTTCTTTAAAACCAAATGGTAATTGAATATTTATCTACACATTGACTTATCAGTCCCAGTTAGTATTTTATTGTATCCTGCTTGAATTTGGCCAAGTTCTTTATGCCCTTTGTATCCAACCATGAAAATTAAAATGCAAATATCACAAGGTAAATAAGCAATATTTTGTGAGTATATCTTTGACTTACTTGGTAGATAGGTAGGTAATAGATTAGGTGCATTTAAAATTTTTATTTTATTTTTTATTTTTTAGAAAAACAGAGGATGCCAAAAAATGTATACACATTTTAAGAAAGGAAAAACTGTATTAAACTTACACTGATGGTAACCACTGTGAGCACCTCTTTTTTTTTAAGATTTTATTGGGGAATTGGGGGAAGGGGAACAGACAAGTTGCTGTCCTTTTGTTCTTCAGTCTAGTTGTGGAGGACGTTGCTTCACTGGCCCAAGTTGGCACCATCATTGCGCTCTTCCCGGGTGAGGCAGATCAGTCGCAGGCTTCTGGACGGCCGCTCACGCTGGCTGCTGGCTACACATGGTAGCCCATGGCAACCCACTGCAGCAGGGGCTGCAGCCTACGCTGTCGCAGGCGACTCACACCAGCCTAGCTCCAGGTTGAGCTGTTGTTCAGCATCTTAGCTGTAGAGGGCAGTGTCACTGGCCCTCATATGTGGGATCCAAACCGGGGCCCTCTGGCATCCCAAGCCAGCTCTTAACCAACATGCCACTTGGCCGACCCAAGTACCTCTTGTAATTGCAGAAGTCAAATGTGACTTGTATTCATCTTTTGTTATTGGTATATATTGAGTATTACAATTTTAATAGTTTTTTCCTTTTTTAAAATGTGTATACATTTTTTGGCACCACCGATCTATGTTTAGGGTAAAAATTCCTACATAACAAGAGCACTAGCTTACTCTGGCTATAGGCATATGTTATTATTTTTCAAAGCCTTAGTCTCAACCAAACTTTGACTTTTCTGCACTATGCCATGCCTTCTCTAATGACAGCATACTATGAAATCCTAGGTTCCATTGCTGTGTTTATTTGCTCAGAATCCATGAAACAAGAGATATCTTGGAGCAAAGCATTCAGTAGATAAAGGGGACCTTATAGATATTCCAGTTCAAGATGTTTAATGGATGCTTAGTGGATGATGATGATGGTGGTGATAATAATGGGGAAAAGGAAGAAAATAATTTGTGAAGCTCTTACGTGTCTGGCATCCTACTTAGTGTTTTACTTATGTTTTCTTGCTTATTAAACAAGGAAACTAAGTTCCAAAAAGGGAAGCAACTCTCCCAAGACCAGTCAGTAAAACCGAAGAGCAAACCCAGAATTCCTGACTCTCAGTGCAGTCTGCCCTCCATTGTAGAACGCTGGCTATATGAAAATTTTAGACACTTTAATTTCAAATTTTTCAAATTTAAATTTAAAATTACAAATATTATTTCTATTGATGCTGTTAAGTATTTATATAATACATGTTGAAGGGCTTTAACTTTATTTTAGCTATTGTCCAAATTCCCTAATAATAATGATTATAATTTCTGTTTATTAAATTTTTACTTTAGATACATTATCTCTATTCTTAAAAATAAGAAAGGAAATAAAAATTCTAGTTTTATAAATGAGGAACCTGAGGCTCAGAGTAGAGCAATGAACTCTTCTAAAGGAAGTCAGTTAAGTAGTAGCAAAGCTGGGATTCAAGCCTGCATCTGTTTGCCTCCAAAACTTTTATTCTATTGTTGCTTATTAAAGAATACCAAAATCAAACAAGCTTGAAAATGATCGATTTAGGGCTATACACTGCTCTCTATTCTCTCTCTCTTCTTCCTCCCGCAACTCCCCACCACCCCCGGCCTATTTATGCCTCATATCTCCTTGAAACTATTGTGAAGAATAAAATAGCACACTTTACTGTATATTTTTTAAATTTCACATTGAGCCTTCCCACTCTTAAATACTGGGAGAAAATGTACATATATATTAATAAAATTAACAAATGGTCCTAGTCTTTTAGCAGGTTTTACTCTAGGCTAGAGACAAAAAAATTTTTTTACAAAAACCGAGAAATTGAATTAGACGTAAGAGCTCACCTCAATTAGTCGGTTTCCTTACTCTCATCCTTTAAATGATGTATAACTATATTTCTAATATTTTTTCATTTTATTCTTTTATTTTGTTTCTATAATTATGTGTTACACACTCAGGTTATCAGAATCAAATTAAAGCAGAAACTATGACTTTTTAATGCCCCGAGTCAATAATTGGTGATATATCCATGCGTCTTCCTATTTCTGCAAAGCAGGCTGCTTCCTTCCAGGTTTATGGGGCAACTGGAGAGCCTGCTTCCAGCTTCCTCACCCCCTGCTCCACCTCCACCACTTCCCCATAATCAGAGCAGTCCAGGCTCCCTTCTGTGATTACTGCCATTCGAAGTGTTCGTCTCCCAGCCGCTCAGCAATCAGCTCACGTGCTTCATTGACTCATTGATTGCTTTCTGACCTTATTGTCTAGAAAAGTGATAATGATTTCTCTTTCAAATGAATGCAAGAGGAAAATCTTTCTTTTCTTTATGTTTGGAATATAGTCAGACATCCATAACTATGAAATTACACAAAGTGAAATAAATTATGTTTAATTTAAAGCTAAGAAAAGCATCAACCCCTGTTAGAAAATTTACTACTAGATAAACTTTATTTGGTTTTTTACAAAATGAAAAAAACTTATTTTAAAAGACCACTCAGCAATGAATGCTATAATTTTTGCCATTTTTTGTAAAATTTTCCCACCTATCTAATTTCTTCTTGAAGACAATAGTAAAACAAATTGGAGAAGAATGCTTTTGGAAACCTCTTCCTTATGACATTGAGCTGCCTGAAAGCATATTTGCACTTGCAGGACAACATATTCTTTCAAATGAGCCCGGTGATTTTTCATGAATATACATTTATTTTCCCCATGACCATGCAAACTAGTGCCTTCTTCAACAGCAGAAATGAAATCATAAGTCTGGTTTTCCATAGCTGCGATCAGGTTGGCCTTGAATAGTAAGACCCATTCAAAACCACGGTATTCGAAAATTTTTAGTCCTAAAAATATGTCCCATAAATGACATAATTTAATTATATTCCAGATGTTTCATCTAAAATACCTTTTCTGTCTTTTCCTTTTTACTCTTGTCTTCACTTGTAACGATCCATCGGCCTACAGTGTCTTTACCTCCAAAATGCAAAGCAGACAAATGGGCGTCTCAGGGAAGAGCATGACCAAAAGCACCAGCATCAGCGGAGATATGTGCTGGCTGGAGAAGAATGATGGCAGCCAGTCTGACACCGCAGTGGGCGCCCTGGGCACCAGCAGCAAAAAGCGGCGCTCTAGCATTGGGGCCAAAATGGTAGCTATTGTTGGCCTCTCCCGGAAAAGTCGCAGCGCTTCTCAGCTCAGCCAAACGGGTAGGCATTTTTTTGTTACTTTTGACTTCATAGTTGAGCTGTAATTAAAATGCATATTTTTTTCTCTACTCATTTTTTGCAGTAATATATGGATGATGCCATATTCCAGAGGGAAAGGGGTATTTTAAACTGGTCACCTTTTCTGAAAATATAACAATAATTTTGGTTTTCAGGGATGAGTGAGCCTGCTTTAAAGTAAACCTTGGCCACTGTTCTTGAAATGTGTTTGATGTCTTTCTTCCTCAGGGAGGAGTTAAGCTGTGGTTCTCCGTATTGCCCACTGCTGATCCTTTCTAAAGGTACTCTGATCTGTGAGGTACTTGCTTTTCTTTAGGTCCTCAAGTTGGAACCAGCCAAATTAATTTTCATCCCCAGCAAGTTAAGGTGATGAAGATGACACCTGATATTTTGTGTGAATAATATATTTTTATTGCTGACAACCTAACTTCTTTTTCAGTTTGTAAGCAGCATTTACAAGTAGTATCAATTTTCTCACTGCAGTTTTATTTCCTTGTTAAAACTTCAAGCAACCTCCAGCAGCAGGGATGGAGGAATTTTCTGCTGACAGTGAAGATATTCAGAGTTTTGCTAATTTAAAATTCAGTTGCTAAATCACATCTGCAAAAATAAATTAGATACAACACTCCTATTCAGAGAAGCCACTGTTAGCAATTAAGAAATTTGTGAGTCAAGGCAATGCCTTTTCTCAAACGGGTGTTGATAATTAAACTTTAAATCCCAGGCATCTTGGAAATAATAGCATATCTTTACTTAACAAACAAAAGCATATAATACAGTGTTTCTTTTACAGCAAATAAATTATAGGCAAATGGATTAAATCTCATTTGTGTTTGAATACTAGCGTTCTTGTACACAAAAGCCAAAACTTAAATATGCAACACAAAAGAATTTAAAGATACATTAATTCCTGGACCCGGCCGATCTTGATTTTACAAACTATAACAGAGATACTGGAATTTGGCTTTATATAATAATATTGTATTGAAATACTCATTTGATGGTATTCCTTATAACTTGGTTGTAACTCACTATATTTAATGTTATTATTGTTATAAGAATTGTTTATTTGGTGTTTCAAATGTTATTTTTTAATTTTAATATAGAAATAGAAATTTAATTGATGAACATAAAGATATTTAAATGATTTTAATTTGCTAATATTTATACATAATTAACTGTGCTGTGCTAATACTATAAATGTTGGCCTTTTGAAATTTTTTTTATATTTCTCTGGCAGTTAGAGCTTTAGTTATTGCACTTTTCTCTTTAAAACTTATAAACATCCGTAAACCAAAAACAACTCTAAAAAAACTAAAGTCTATAATTAAAAAAAATTAAAACCTAAAACAAACATTAAGAGGACTATAAGTTAGAGAATATCTGATATTTAACTAAATAATTCCATTCATTCAGGGTTTTTGGTAAATATTAAGCATTTACTGAGTGCCAGGCACATGGAAAACAAAGATGAATAAGAAACCATTCATAATCTGAGTTGCTTATAATCTAGCAGAAAATAAGTGCTTCAGCAGGTTGTTTCAAGGTAATATGTCAGTGGCAGAACTAGAATTGCATATAAAGTGTGCCAGATGCCCAGAGGAAGGACACCTGACCCATCCTGGAATTCTGGGAATGAATATCTGGAGGAGATAATACCTGATCTAAGGCCTAAAAGCAGAGTAATAGCTAACCAGATAAAGAACAATTTGAAAGGTGTTCCAGATAGAAACCATAAAAAAGTGTAATGTACAAAGGCATGGAGGCACTATATGTACAGGAATGATAGTCAATTAGGTGTAATTTTACCATAAAAATGTGACTAGAAGTGAGGCTGATGGATAAGGGACAAGATCATGGAGAGCTTTGTAGATCATATTAATTTATAGGTTATAGGAAGTTTTAAAAAGTTTTCAATAGAGAATTTATGTGGTAAGATTTGCATAATATATAATTTTTAGGACATTCAGGCTGTTATTTATCTAACAAGTAGTTTTTGAGCATCTACTATCCAGGAACTATCCTAAGGAAAACATGAACTAGACAAGAGATCCTTCTCTTAGAGCCTACAATTATTAGAGTCTGACAATCTTAGAGTCTGACAATTATTGGGTTGTCAGAAAAGTCATGATGCATTTTTGCAATGAAAAGCAGAAAAAATACGTCATGACTTTTCCGACAACCCAATAAGTTTGCGAACTTGTTGCACTGATGTTGCTAACCTCTTGTTGATATCAGAGGGATTATTCATTATGAATTTGTACCAACAGGACAAATAGTTAACCAAGTTTACTATTTGGAAATGCTGTAAAGGCTGTGTGAAAAAGTTAGATGACCTGAACTTTTCGCCAACAATTCATGGCTCTTGCATCACAACAATGCACCAGCTCACACGGCACTGTCTGTGAGAGAGTTTTTAGCCAGTAAACAAATAACTGTATTGGAACACCCTCCCTACTCACCTGACCTGGCCCCCAATGACTTCTTTCTTTACCCGAAGATAAAGGAAAAAATGAAAGGAAGATGTTTTGATGACATTCAGGACATCAAGGATAATACAACGATAGCTCTGAAATGGCCATTCCAGAAAAAGAGTTCCAAAATTGCTTTGAAGGGTGGACTAGGCGCTGGCATCAGTGCATAGCTTCCCAAGGGGAGTATTTCAAAAGTGACCATAGTGGTATTCAGCAATGAGTTATGTAGCACTTTTTCTGGGATGAGTTCACGAACTTAATTGTCTGACCTCATATTCTAGTGGGGCTGCAATAAAGAAGTAACTACTGGAGTTTCCTGGAGTCAGCACCTGGTAAAGAGTATTTTAGGATGAATTAGCAGAGCAGTACAATAATTCAGAGAAGAGGTAAGAACCGGAGTGAACCTGAATTGAGTCAGTTGTAATAAAGATAGAGAGAGGACGATAGTTTCAGGGGAATTTTAAAGAGCAAAGTTAATAGTCAATCATTCAACTTAGTGACTCACTGGATATGGGGAGGTAAGGGAAAGAGAATTCTAAGATGATTTCCATATTTCTGGTTTGTATCACTGAGTGGATGCTTGCAGGACTATTAATGGACACTGGAAGTATGAAAGAAGGAGTAGGTGGGGGGGGAAGAGGGAGAGGAATGAATCCTGAGCCCATGAAGGAGACCAAGAAAGAATGATCATGAAGAACAGACAGAAACTGGGAGAGTACTGTTACAAAGCTAAGCGTCTTATAGAAGAGTTCAAGGAGAGAATGGGTCAGTGTTTCCAAATGATCAATTTCATGACTTTACAGTTTTGGCATAAATATCCAATATATCTTCCTTTGACAGTATTTTCATTGAAAAAGCATGTATCTATTGATTACCCACTGAGATTCTGTAACAATATTGATTTGTTTTTCATGTATGAGTAGTTATAGGTTTTTAATCTTCAAAAACATTGTGATGTTGGCAGATTTAAGACATATAGTCTTGTTTCTTATATCATATAGCTCCTTTCTATAATATATAGCATAGCATAAAGCATAAAGTATTCCTTTTTGTCGCCATTTTCATTAATATTCAGTGACGTAACAGCTAAGATTTTAATCATGCTTAAAATGTGCAAGCAATTATTTCTACCTATCCACCTAATAGCTTTGATCTATCAACAATAGAATGAGAATCTCTCTCATTACTGGACTCCAAACTTTCCATGCATTTCTAAATTCTATATTTGTGTATATATGTGTATGTGTTTCAAGTAAAATTTTTATGTTTTCTTTTAAGAAAAAACTTGCAATCACAAGCACCAACAGTATTTAAAACTGACATCTTCAAATTTAATACCTAAATCATTTGATTATATGATAACATCTAAAGTAATAAATTTGTTTTATGATGTTGGATCTTACATAAATATATAAGATGTATTGAGTAACTTACCTAAAACCAAGAAATACATTTTTAACTAGCATGTTTGCATTTTCAAAAATTAATTTAGTATTCCCTTGATTTTCCTGGCATCTATATGGAGATCTGCATGTAATTAAATTACAGGGCTGTCATTTAATGAATGATATACCGTAATGTTTTCAAATTTTAAGATGGTGTTCATTATTGTAAAAATAAATAGCATTGCACCAGTATGGATTTTAAACCAGACAAGATTGTTTACTTGCCTCCTGAAGAATAGAAAAATGAGAAAATGAGATCTTTCTAAAGAATAGTGAAATTAGTCTCAATAATATCATAGTAATCATATGTGAACAATAATTGGCAAGGGGAAAACCATTTATAAAGGTGTATTGATCAATACACATGGCAACTAAATTATATGTCTTTACTTCTTCCATGCTATTTTGTATGTTCCTTTTCCTGCTAATTGTAAACTCACTTTTAAAGTCACCATTTCTAAAGAACTCTTTTCATCTTACAAAACTGAAACTCTGCATCCATTAAACAACAACTCTCCATTTGCCTTTTCCTCCAGCTTCTGGCAAACAACATTTTACTTTTTGTCTGTGAATTTGACTACTCTACATACCTCATATAAGTGGAATTATGCGGTATTTGTCCTTTGTGACTGGGTTAATTCGTGTATAGGAATGTCCTTAAAGTCCATGCATATTATAGCATGTGTCATAATTTCTTTCCTTTTTAAGGTTTACTAACATCCCATTGTATATATGTACCACATTTTGTTTATCCATTCATCTGTCAATGGACATTTGGGTGACTTCCACTTTTTAGCAATTGTGAACAAGGTTGCTCTGAGCATGTGTGTACAAATATGTCTTTGAGACTCTGCTTTCAATTTGAGGGGGGGGGGCATATATCCACAGTGGAATTATCTGGATCATATGGTAATCCTCTTTTTAATTTTTGAGGACCTGCCACACTGTTTCCATAGTAGCTGTACCATTTACACTCTTACCAACAGTACACAAGGGTTCCAGTTTCTCCACATCCTTGCCAACACTTGTTATTTTTTAATAATAGTCATCCTAAGAGTGTGAGGTGATACCTCATTGTAGTTTAGATTTGTGTTTCCCTAATGACTGGTGATGTTGAGCATCTTTTTGTGTACTTATTGGCTGTTTGTATATCTT